TGAGGATGATGATAATGGATGTTCATAAATTTTACCGCTAATTATTTACTTTACTGCAGAAAAGTTGCGTCTATAATCACATCAAAACTTATATAAAACTTATGATAATCAGCATCAACATAATTCCAATTACACTCGCTAACAACCCCAAACAGTTCATATAAAAGAATTAGTATATCATCCAAAAAGTTCTCAAGAAAAGAAAATTAACGAACTCATTTTCTTTGACGCAGGTGTCCCGTGTGTCGACTTGGATGTACCTGTTTGCAACGGTACTTGGTTTGCTCCCAACCCAGATCTTGAACTGCTACCTCGGTACAACTGTGAGGAGCTTGGATGAGGTGGTGTCTGACTCCTCTTCTGCCACGGCTACGGGCTGGATAGTATTCGCGGCGCAGGTAAGAAGAGGGTTTCCATGTGTCAATTTGTTTTTATATTTATGTCTGTCTGTTCCTTTCTTTCCCTTTCTGAATCTGTCTCACCCTCAGTCTGCCTCTTTCTCTTTTTCTCTCTCTGTCTCTCTCTCTCTATGTATATATCTCACTCATTCACTCTCTCTCTCTCTCTCTCTCTCTCTCTATCTATCTATCTATCTATCTATCTATCTATCTATTTATCTATCTATCCATCTATCTCTTCGTCTCTCTCTCTCTTTCTTTCTCTTCTTTCTATTTTCTCTCTTTTTTATTTTCCTTCTCTCTCTCTCTCTCTCTCTCTCTCTCTCTCTCTCTCTCTCTCTCTCTCTCTCTCTCTCTCTCTCTCTCTCTCTCTCTCTCTCTCTCTCTCTCTCTCTCTCTCTCTCTCTCTCTCTCTCTCTCTCTCTCTATCTATCTATCTATCTATCTATCTATCTATCTATTTATCTATCTATCCATCTGTCTCTTCGTCTCTCTCTCTCTTTCTTTCTTTCTCTTTCTATTTCTCTCTTTTTTTATTTTCCTTCTCTCTCTCTCTCTCTCTCTCTCTCTCTCTCTCTCTCCTCTCTCTCTCTCTCTCTCTCTCTCTCTCTCTCTCTCTCTCTCTCTCTCTCTCTCTCTCTCTCTCTCTCTCTCTCTCTCTCTCTATCTATCTATCTATCTCTATTTCTATCTTTTTTCCTCGGTTTTGGTATTTGTTATTCCGTTTTCAAGGGTTATTTAATTTTTTTCAGCCTTTCTTTGTTTTGTTTTGTTGTTTTTTTCGCGTTTATCCTTATATCCTCATTTTTATGATAATTGATATATTTTCTTAATTTTTCCTTGGTTATTATTTGCCTGTTTGCTTGTTATTTTCTTCACTTCTCTTTTTCCTTGTTTTATATTGATATTTGTCTTGTGTTTTCTTCATTTTTTGTCGATTATTGTTTTGCCTCTTGTTCTTCCTTCGTTTCTTCCTTTCACGGGTTATTATTTTATATCTATCTCTCTTCTTTTCGTGGCCATAATCTTATTCCTCATTCTAACGCAGTGCCCCCCTCCCTCCTCGTCTTTTTGCGTTTTTCTTTTTTCCTGTTTTCTTTATTTGCGCCCCAAGGATAGCAACATCTTAGGTCATCTCAAGTCATGTACACAATAAACGATATTATTGACTTTTCTGCATGACCAATGACCTTCCTGAATGACGTTCAGCAAGAAAATTGTCCTCGTCAACAGATATTAACGTGAATCTAAAAAAATTGTGATCCTAGCCTTTGAAAACTGAACCTGGTTTAATGCCCAGTGTGAGTCAGTGTAGACAAAAATGCAAACTAATCAGTTTAAAAGGTGTGATGGATCTGTTTGATTAAGTAAAAGTAAGGAAATAAATGGAAGAATTTTTTTTTTAAGTTTAGTATTCATTATGATTAGACATGATTTATTTTTTCATGGTGTATTTATATTACGAATATAAACATGCTTGGCATGTTAAAGTTGATATTGGAATATTGGCGATACTCATAATGAAAAAATGAATAAAAGGGAGAAGAAAAAAAGGAAAATGTTTCGAGACCAAAAATATTGCAAATATCATGGCCACTTTTTTTCTCTCTCTATTTTGGTATACGTCTCCAATATTCATGGAAGGATAAAAAAAACATTCGATTATCCTGTAAGCGCGAAATATTACTTCCCTGTACTTATCCCATGAAAGAGAGAGGAAGAGACAAACATACAGACAGACAGCGAGAGAGAGAGAGAGAGAGAGAGAGAGAGAGAGAGAGAGAGAGAGAGAGAGAGAGAGAGAGAGAGAGAGAGAGAGAGAGAGAGAGAGAGAGAGAGAGAGAATGAGATGGACAGAGAGAGAGAGAATGTGACGGACAGAGAGAAAGAGAGACAGAGAGAGAGAGAGAGAGAATGAGACGGACAGAGAGAGAGAGAGAATGAGACGGACAGAGAGGGAGAAAGAAAGAAAGAGAAAGAGAAAGAGGGATAGAGATACAAGAAAAGGAATGCTTTTGCAGTACCGAAAATAAGCACACCGGGCTAAATAGTGAAATTGCATAAAGAATTAGTGCCTGTAAGACTTAAAATAAAGATTAAAC